CAGTTTCTCCACAACCTCGGAGAAGGGGCATTTTCGAGAAGGAATGTTTAACAGTGTCCCTTGCCACAGAGTAGTTAAGGAAGATAAATGTGAAGTGGTTTTTTGATTTGGCAGTATTAGGATCATTAATGACCAGGTCGAGCAAAAACTATGTCATAGAGTGAAGGATGAAGAAAAGATGCAGAGTGAGGGTCTTGCCTTGAACACTATTAGTATGCATGGAAGGCAAAGATTCTACAGACTGAAAGAGTAATGGAGATCTGGTGGCCTAGTGGCAAGAAGCTGCGGTGCAATCCCGAAGGTGCGCAATTCTAATCCATCCACCAGTTGTTCTGCTGGAGAAGGAAGGACAGTCTTCTCCCGTTCCAGTTGGATCCTACTCAACGGTACACAGCAAGGGGAAATTTTAAAAAAAAAAAAAACACACAAAAAACTGAAGGAGTAGTCAGAGAGTGGGAGGGAAAAACCCCAGAAGGTTCTGAAGTTACTTAATCCAAGAGAAAAGAATGTTACAAGAAGAGGGCCTGACCAGAAGTTTTAAGTACTTCTGAAGGGTCAAGCATGATGTCTGAAAAAGAGGCCATTGGATCCAATGATTTACAAATAATTGTTGACCTTTCAACGATGGAGAACAGAAGCCAGACCAAAAGAATAGGTGAGAGATGAGGAAATGGAAGCAACATAAACCATACTAAAGATGTTAGGCAGTGAAAAGAAATAGAATAGAGACAAGATAAATTGTGTTGAAGGATTATTTTTAAGAAAAGCCAAAAGGAAGACTAGTAGAGAGGATTGTGTATGACACGAGAGATACTCAAGGAAAGTGATGATAGTACAGGTTTCCTCAGAAGGAAGATCGGATTGGAAGGCAGGGTGGAGGTTAGAGGATGTGGCATTAGGAAGAGGGATGCTTCAACCATCAGTCATGAGTTGGCATGGCTTGCCTCCTCCTCCAGCCTGGACCCTGTTGCGAGCCATTTCAAGGCTGTTTACATGTCTGCCGGGATGGTGTGAGAGTCTGCTACCCCTCACCTGCCAAGTACTGCTGGAAAGGATACCCAAGCAAACCAGAGGAACTGGTAAGACTGCCAGAGGGCCCTCCCTCCAGCTAAGCATATTTTTTTTGTTAAATCATTTTTTATTATTAATTTCAATCAAAATTTACAGAGACTTTGG